CTCTCTCTCTCTCTCTCCTCTCTGTCTCTCGTCTTTCCGTCTCTCTTCTCTCTCTTCTCTCGCAGGAGGATCCGGGCAAAGAGCCACATATAAAGGACTCTTCACCCCTGCCTCCAAAAAGATCGCCGTGTTTTTTCCTACCTCGCTGCCCTCCACTTTCCCATTCTGGAGCGCTAGCTTTCGCCCCCCCCCTTGGCCTCAAGTAAAAAAACATTAAACGGCAGGTGCGTTACATATCATCACTATATACTGAGATTTGCAGAGTTGCATATTCCACAACAGCACATCTCTCTCTCTCTCTCGCATTCTCTTTTTTTCTTCCTTTCTTCCTTCCTTCTTGCTTTCTTGCCTTTTTTCTTTCGTTCTTTCACGAAGCGCAACCCTCTCGCATGAAATGTGTGTCAAGTGGAAATTGCGTTTTCATTTGGTGGAAGTTGCCAAAGTGTGTAACAGTGGTCCGCAACAAAGGTAGAACTTGCCAAAGTGCATAATTAACTGCCGACGCAAAATGACGGTGGACGTTGCCAAGGTGTGAAGCTGTCGTCCAAAATGAAGGTGTACTGTACTTTGCCAAAGTGCATAACTGTCGTCGGAAATGAATGTGAAGGTGTAGCGGCAGCAGCTTCTGGGAGCTGTGGCCTCAGAACTGGCAACTTTGCAGTGCAAAATTTGTGCGCGAACACCGTGTGGCAACACTATGCTTGTGATGCCGCTGTGCCATGCGGATTGGCGCCGCCTTGGTGGAAAGTGCGTTTGCGTGAGTCCGTGCCAAGAGGGGAAAGGCAAACATGATGGCGTATAAACGGGGTGTCGCTGGGGAGGGAAGGGAGGGGATGCTCCTATGAACATCCTTGGCGCCTTTTCGGCTCATTCTTGTCTCACCCTCTCTGTCAAATTTTCTCTCTCACGAGAACACAACCTCTCTATTATTAATGCAAAGATACCTTGCACCAGGGCAACTCTACCTACACACTTTGTCATCCGTCGTCTAGCTGCCTTCACAGACCCATACAGACCCCTTCCCCAGAACTCACTTGCCAATTGCGTATAACGTTCGGCCCCCTCACTTTTCATACGAAGCTCTGGATGCCTTTGGTGTTTTGCAAGCCGAACAAATAATTAATGTAGTGTGGTACCAGCTGGTACCTGGCAGCACCGTGGGGTGTGAAAAAACATTCTATCATTGCAAGACTGACAGGCGAAGGTCGAGCAGATACGCATTGACCTGCAGAATTGGACTCGGAAGTTCCGCTGCGCGGCCACGCTGAAGCCATTTGACGACATGAATCCGTTCAATTCCTGACGAGCAGCGCAGAGAGAGAGAGAGAGAGAGACCGGGGGAGAGAGAAGGTCAGACTCAGTGCAACGTCAGACTGGGCGGTGGCTGCACAAGGTATGGAGAAGTAGTGGTCAAGACCCAAGTGGGTTTAGCGGAGGACTGCGTGATTTCGTTGTGCTAAGCCGACATGACCCATGGCACACCAACATGACCTATGAGCCTATGAGTGCAGGAAGATCGGAAAAAGGCCATCGCGGAGCTTCACAAGGTGATCGATTACCACTATCCAGGCACCATCAAATGCATCTCAGGGGAGGCTGAGTTGACGATTTGTTTTGTGTGTGTGCGCGTTTTTAAAAAACCCAATGTCTTTAAAAAACCCGTTTCCAGGCCAGGGAGTCGCACCTTCCACCAGCATCTTGGACTAGTTAGATGAAAGATGGCCGCCCTGGCCACCTGTGTTTCTTGGGGCCAGTGGCCCATGGGGGGAGGAGCCACGTTTGGTTCCGCCCGAGGCGCTGGGCCCGGTGCGAAGTTGCCCACCGTTCCGGAAGAGCCGCGGTCGTTCCGCTATTCGGAGCACACCTTGAAGGCGTGAGAGCGTCATGATGTTCAGAGATGTTTTCCCCAAAAACATGACACTCCTGGAGGTTTCGAACGATGGGGGTGCCGGATTGGAGCTGAACCCGGAAAGTTGTGGTATGAAGATTCTACATGCGCCTTGGTAATTGAACTGGTAGTCGTGTTGAAGCCAGTTGATTTGCAGGTTCATGATGCTTGGACAATGCATGGGCATGATCCACTCTGTCAGTCCTTTCTTCCAGAACATGCCCATGCGTCGTGCTGATGTTCTTGTTCATCATTGCGATTCCGTCCGCAAAACTCCCCAGATTTACGAGAAACCTGGACAGCCTACTTTGCTGGTGGGTGATCTCATTACGAAGATCGGCGGGCAGACCTTGCGCGGGGGGGCCTGACAAGGCCCGGTGGCACTTGTCAGCTGTGAACTTTGCCTATACGATCCCATACGCCCATAAGTATCCGGGTGTGAATTTCTGTATCCCTGGAGCAGGCAGGCCTGTTTTATACCTATAGAATGGGGGCCCCAACCCTTACCCCTAAATTCACACGGGGATCCATGAGTACAAACATTAGAGATCAACTTTCCAACCAAGTTCACGCTCCTGCACCACCATTGTGGCCATAGAATAGAAGCAACATCGCCCATGTTTTTCTAAATGCATGTTCCCTTTTCTTGCTTGCTTTTGTGGCATTGAAACTGTGCAACAGTGCCCGGTGGCTTTGATGCACTTTGACCTTCACCTTCAAGTCGAAGAAATCGCGAAGTCGACGAACCTCGATTGAAGCCGCAGGTGGTTGAGATTTTCGGTTCCAACTTCCGGGACGGTGCCCTTCTGACCATCAAGCGGGTCAGCGGAGGGACGACTATGTAGCATAGTGTGTCAGCTTGCAGTCCTGAAGCCAGCTTGTTACCCCAACCAGATCCAACCAGAGAAGTTTTGATGCTGTGAAATCTTTGGGTTCCAAATGGTTTCCAGACTGCCGGTCTTGGCGCAAAATGGTCTCCAGCCGTGCACAAGGTCCGGTAAACCCTCGCATTCGATGTGTCACTCAGTTTGATTTGACAAGGCTTTGACTCGCCCTCCAAGTACACATTCCATTTGCCAAAAAAAGACAGCTGAGCTTGGTGTGGGTGCTGCAAAGGGTCCTGAGGTCTTCGTCAAAACTCTTTTGTCAGGCCGTTTCTCAATCATAGGCTCTGTGGCAAGCACTTGCCGGCTCATTCTGTGACCGATTCCGTGACCGCCGCGGCGCGCGAAAACGCGCTGGCGCGCGCCTCTTTCGTGCGCGATGGGGAACACCTTGTCGTCTGACACGCTGCCGGTGCTTTGCACCATGGTCGATGTACACAACCCCAAGGCACAGGACATGTTCTACTTTTGCAATGTGAGCAGTGGTGGTGCCGCAACAAAGGTCATAGGCAGATCTCAAACACTCAGCGTCGAAGTCAGCATCAACACCGTGCTGAGCTTCACTGTCTATGAGTGCCCCGAGCCCGTCTTCACCCCGGAGACCGCCCGTTGCCTGGGGCTCTTGCGGGTCCCTGTCGAACGCTTGGCTGAGCGTTACTCGTCGGGCATCTTCCAACAGTGGTTCAACCTGGACACCAAGACCGATCCACGAATGCCTGCAGGCGACCTGCAAGCCTTGATCAGCCGATTCGAGCAGGCCTACTCAGATGCTGTGTCACCGGGATTCTTATTGGCCATGAGTAGAAAGGTAAGGTTCTGGTGGGTGTGTATATATATATTATATATATATATATATCATATGTGTTTTTATGTGTGTTTGTTTTGTCCTCGGGTATGCATCCTTTCGGGGGTATTAGGAATACGGATGCTTTGTTTATCCATGTTTATCCTTTTAGCATTCCATAAAGCAGCTCTGCGCTGAGGTCAGACGTGTATCAGCCCAAGATTTGCATCTCCATCATTGGTACAGCCTTCGAAGTTCAGCGGGGCACACGTCAGACATGCTCCATCTTCGTAGGGGAGGACGTGAAAACGCAGGCCGGGCCGGATTTGAAAGCCTTGATCGCCTCCCACAAGCAGCAGGCGGCCTACATTGATGCCCTGCACGAGGAGATTCGCCGCTTCAACGTTCCCAGTTACCGCCCTTTGTCGGCGGCGCAAGGCATGGAGGGCATGCCCGGCTTGTCAAAGCCCCCAACGGCACCGATGGGCCAAATGGGTCCAGGCTATGCATAGTGAGTGCAGGTGTCACACCCACCGGCGGTTGATTCCAATTTGATTTGCGGAGTTGCAGAGAAGACCTTTCGTGACATTGCTGGAAAAGTCCTTGGTAACCAATCTTTATTCGTATCTTATATACTGTATATATAACTATATATATATACACATACAACATAGGTAGTAAGGTAGTATAGTAATTTGATTTGCTGTGCCAGACTGTTTTCTGATCTTTTTTGAAAGCTCCTCATGAAGAGTGCCAATGCACACAGCACCTGAAATGAAACTGACATTGAAACTGACATTGGACCGCCAGCAAGCTGCACGGTTCACAGGAGAATTTCTTTCGTGTCCTCATTTGATTGCACAGCCGCGCCCTAGGTTTGTTTGCAAATTTCAGCAAGAGGCAGGTGAGCTGTGCTTTCGTTTGAAACGCTCGAAGATATATCTTTGGGCACTGGGAACTAGCAGAAGCTGCTCTAGGTTATTCTTGAGCTGGGAAGTCGGCCATTACTCCAGCTGACCTGTTGGGAAGCCGTGGAAGAAGTGAATGCTTAGCCTTTTTTTAGGTATAGGTCGCGAGCCACATCGACATTGTGCAGCTAGACTGCTCCACTCCATGGTAACTCAGCTCAGCCCAGCTGATCTTTAGCCAGGGACCCGGCAATCCAGATTGCAAAGTGCGCCCCGACACAGACACCGAAAGGTTCAAGCATCTGAACGTATCTGAACAGAGGGTAGGCTTGAACATACCGCGATGAAGCCAGAGTCCTGTGGAACATCTTCCCAATAAATCCTTGTCCGAACAGCTGAAAGTTGCCCAGAACGGCTGGGCGGTGAGGTGCCTCCTCAAAGGCCAAACTCAGCAAGCGACTGAAGGATTGGCTCACCCAACCAATTTCATCGATGTTCATCAGGAGTGCAACGCGCTGAGGTCTTCTTGAAGTCGGTTTGTGAGCACCTTCTTCTCAGGCCCTTGAGCGACCCTCATTGACCATACACTGCTAAACAAGCCCAGTGCTCGGTGGACACTGATGAAGGGTAAAATGCAATTCCTTGGCTTGTTTTGCTGAACTGTTTTTGGACAACGCAGTCTTTCACAACTTGTTATGCCAATTTCGCCATGCCCATCGCAGCCATCTATGGCATTCAAAGGGGCCGACTTGGGAAATGATTGTTAGGATTCTCCGCGCAAAGTTTTAACATGTACGTTGAGAAAAGCCTCGTCGAATGGCTCGAGGATCGCTTTAGAGATGAGCTCAGGCCGGGGTGCTGCTTTTGTGCTGCTCTTTTTCTAGGTCCTAAGATTGGCTCCATTTGGTGTCCAATCATACTTCCAATCATATATCAATGGTATATCTAATGTTGCTACTGTTAGGGTGAACGGGTGAACAAGCAAGACATCATCACTTCACCCAGAAATAGCCTGAAACCGCTGACGGAAGCTGTGTAGGTTCATGGAGGGCCGACAGTTTGCGCTGCTGGGTGAGTTGCGCTCTCGAGTGGCGGACTCTCCGATGAAAAGAAGGGTGGCCTCACGCTCTTCAAGCAAAGTCTCAGTCTCAGAACCTGATACACTTTCAGAAGTCCCCGAGAATGGGCTGCTGAATGAGCCGGAGGAGAGGCCCGAGAGGCCCCCCTCGGGGCCGGACGAGAGGCCCGAGGATGGGGGAAATGAGGGCCTTGAGCCCAAAATTGAAGGAATCCTGAGCAGTGAGTCCGAGAGAGGCGACGGTATAGCCAGTGTGCCACTCGCATTTCATGCCATCAAGCTGCCAAAGCTCGAGGATGATGACAAGTACAGTGATGACCAGCTCGAGGAGCATGAAATGCCAGAGCCACAGATTGACAAAGTGGTTGTGAGGCCGACACTGGCGCGGGCACCATCCAGCTTGAAAGAGTCTTTGGCCAGACAAAAGACCAAGGGATTTGTGCCAGTATGGTATCCAAGCCGAGTAGTAGCTGGGAATACTCAAGCAACTGAAGCCTTTGACTGATTTTTGGTAGCTCATGGTAGCTCCACCCCCTAGGAAAAAAATGTACATTCACATACAATTCTTTTTGTCCAACGCGGTTGAATCAGCGTTCAGGTACGATCTTCGTTCTTCGAGGTCTTTTTTTCCCTCCTCATCCTTCTGCAGGCCGCATGCTTGGCCCTGGAAACTCAGTACAGTGGCCTTGATTGGGGCTTTAAGCTAAGTTACGAGGGCTACGGAGCCTCAGCACAACAGATTTGGCCGAGTGTCCCCGGCTTTCTACAGGCCACGGAGATGTTGTTTGGCACGCTTTTCTTCGTTGAATGCCTCTTGAGGCTGTGTGCCTATCGATGGGATTTCTTTTGCAAGCTTTGGAACTGGTTCGACTTCTTTCTGGTCCTACTTTGGTGCTTCGACACCGTCTTGGCCATCGTTCCGGTGGACAGTCCGGTGATCCGCTTGGTCCGTTTGGTGCGGCTCATCCGCCTGGTGAAGTTGGTGCGGGCGGTGCAGGGATTCGATAGTCTCATTGTGATGACCACGGCTCTGCGGGACAGTGTCACGTCACTCTTCTGGGTCGCCATCATCATGTTGGTGGTGGAGATGATGTTTGCACTACTGTTGAATCAGGTTCTGGTCTCCTTGATTTTCGATGCAGGCCACGACTATTCGGAAGCTGAGGAAAAGCTCCTCTTTGAGTACTTTGGAACCTTCCTCAGGGCGATGCTGACGATGTTTCAGCTAACTCTAGGAACTTGGGTGCCCGTCGCTCGAATTCTACAAGAAACGGTCAGTCCTTACTTCAACATCTTCACCATTTTGCACAAGGTCATCATTGGCTTCGCTTGCATTGGTGTCATCAACGGTGTCTTTATGCAAGAAACCCTCAAAGTGGCGCAGAGCGATGACATCATCATGATGAGAGAAGTGGCCAACAAAGAGCGGACGCATGCTCGGAAGATGAAGGCATTCTTTCGTTATGCTGATCATTCCAAAGACCATGTGATTACAAAGGAAGAATCTGGTCTGCCAAGATGCATTTTGCTGCATTTGTTGGATGAATTAAATGTAATTAATGAATCAACCAATGAAAGTAAAGCTCGATTGAGATAAAACAGGCAGGTTTGAACATGTTTGAACTTCCTTGGAAAAAAAACAATCCACCGAGTGAGGAATGGTTGCGAGTCATGAGCGGACCTCATGCACAGCATTGGTTTTCAGCTCAGGGTTTGAAGGTGAAAGATGCCTCAGCAGTCTTCAAACTGCTAGATGAAGACGGATCTAATGGCATCAGTATGGATGAACTCATCGCAGGAGTCGCTGCACTACAAGGGCCTGCACGAAGCTTAGACTTGGCAAATTTGATTGAAGATCAGCGACAGTTGAGAAAGAGCATGAAAGGCTTGCTGCGGCGTTTGGACCGCATGGAAATCTTGGAAAGCCAACTTGCATCTCAAGTGCTCAGCAGCAGCAGAAATACTACAGAGCCAGATTCCTGGTCCCTTTGAGTTTGATGCCAAGAAATCAGACATCGGATGACGGTGTGAAAAGGCGGAGAAACACGTAGAAAGAGCAGTTACCAAGTATAACCAAGTGCCACTGAACTGTGGCATTTGTTTTTTTTCTCCGAATGGCTGTCTCAAAGAGTGGCCCAGATGGAACCTTGTACGTTTCACCCACGCTGAAGTCCGAACACTTCGCTCGAAAAAGACACAGTGTGTCCGTGTGGCGTTGGCAAACTGTGAGTCCGAATCGACAGATAGAAACATTAGAAACATTTGTTGGCTAGTCCGAAACGGTCCCAAGCGGATAGTCCAAGGTGAGTTTCGGTTTTGTCGGCTCGTCGGCAGATAGAAACGGTGAGTCCGATCTCGGAAACGTTTGTTGGCTTCATGGATGCTGGTGCCTGGTGACTGCTTGATCGGTGGCATGTTCCGCTCTGCTTTCACTCCAATGGACAGGATCACAAAAGGACTAAAAGTGCCAACCATGCAATACCGTGTCCTTGCAAGGCACATCAATCATCATCACTTCTTAGTGTGTCATCATTCACAATGCTACATAGGCGGTTTATGAGCCTGTTCCTTCATTCATAGTGGTGTGACTCACACTGCATGAGGCAAACAAGACACACTAGAACAATCTAGAACAGATCTATAGTTTGCACTGTTTGGCACTACCAATTTCAAATTCAACATTTTTCAGCGGCGCGAACACCAGTGGTGTGGCCATGCTTGGCGGGCCTGATGTCGAGCTTGGGCTCGGGGGGGAGGAGCTGTCCCGCTGGTTGGAAGACAGGCTTCGAGAGCAACGTGAAAGCATGGAAAGGCAGCACTTGCTGTTGCTGGCTCAGCTCAAGAGCTTCACACCCAAGAGGACACATGGGGTATGGATGGGTACGGGTCATGGGAGTTGAGCTTCACCCAAAAGCGGGACTACAACATCCTGCTGCTTTGGCCCCATTTGTGGCATGGTGGGAGCGGGAGCACGTCCCGGATGTCTACTACTAGCGATGCACTTGTTACTAGTAGCGTTCTTGTTACTACTAGTAAGGCACCTGTTACTACTAGCGATGCACTTGTTACTAGTAGACTCTTTGTTTTGTGGTTAGTTTTTGCGCTATGCTGCCAGGACTCGAACCTCTCGGACTTCCTTGGCCTCTAGTGAGTCTGAGATGCCGCTCCCCGAATGCCAAGTTCAGACACCCTCATGTGACGCCGGCTCGCGGACGAAGCCCAAAGCAACCTCACTGAGAGAGACTTTGTCATTGGCAAGGTTGGATTTCATTCCACACAGCTCCTAAGCATGAACAATCATAAACGCAAGGACCGTAAGGATACAAGAGAAACTGAACTAGATGGCGCACACGCACAGTTCGAAGCATTGTTGGTGTACATCATTGTACATCCACATAAATGGCCTCGTGCCTGTATGTAATGTTTTGTTATGTATATATATATATATATAAGCAACGCAATTTATTGTGTTGTATTGTAATGTAATGATATGTAATGAAATGCAATGTAATGCAATGTCATGGTATGCATGTATACTATGTATACTATGTTATGGTGTGGTATGTTATGTTGTGTTATGATGATATACTATTATTTATTATTATGTAGTTTCTACATAATATACTGGTATGGTATGCATTCGTGTTATGCATGTTTATAACGGGGTGTGTGTGTGTGTGTAAGTAATGCAATGTAAGGTAAGGTGATGGAATGTATGTCATCAACGTTAAAAAAAGCAATGCAATTGACAATGAGTCGTGTTCAATACTATCGTCATTTACTTAAGACAAGGGTGTTTCATCCAAGAGTGTGATTTCGGGGTTTCCTTGGAAACGATACGGGACCGGGACGTCCAAAAAAACGATACCCCTATTGTTACATGCATTAGTTCCTTGAGTTTTATTGAGTTCATTTTTGTATGTCCTCCTGCTACAGCAACTCTTCTCAGCATTTGTGCTCAAGGGTTTGAAGGGCGTCACTTCATGAACTGATTTGTTCTTGCAAGTGTCACAGGCAATTACGGATTGTGATTGCTTGTGTTCGTTGTGTTTGGAGGGCTGTGTCCTGGCTCTTGGCTCATGGGCTGGCCCGAGCCCATAAGGACAGGCTGCGCTCCATCACTGAACAAGGTGCACGCCTTTGTCCGCCTGTCTTGGTTTGGGTTTCTCTTTGGTGTAGCGTGAGCGCTGCGTGTGTGCCTACAAGCAGCTTGATGTCATAAAGCAACATAATACGGACAGAAAGTCAACATCATAAACCGATACCCCAAAGCGATACCTCAACGATACACGAGAGAGTGCAAAAAGGGAAGCTCCTTAGACGGCGCCCCATGGGCAAGTCTGCAAAGGTTCAGTTGCGCTTGCTGGAGCAGCCCTTTGCAACGGTGCTGTTGTCCTTACTCAGACTTCGCAGAGCCCGTCACATTTCCAGTGGTTGCAGGGGATGCTCTGGTTCCTGTGTCCTCTTGTTTGTGCGTTTGTGTTTGTGTTTGGTTTGTTATGTTCCGTGGCTTTCATTGTTGGTGGCAAGACTCCACCATGCGAAACATGGAAAACCTGCTAAACGATGCATGCAGCGCTCATTCTACCAAAAGTTGTAAAACGATACGGGACGTCCTAACTTTGAACGAATACCACTTGAGTAAGTAGTCTAGAGAACAACTGATACAATGATTATGGTATGTAATATAATGTAGTGTGTGTGTATGTGCATGTATGTTGATGTAATTTAAGGTTATGTTATGTTATGCTAGTATGTGTGTGTGTGTAAGGAATGTTATGTGATGTTATGTAACATTTGTCAGTAATGTAATGTAATTCAATGTACCGTAATGTAATATAACGCAATGTAATGCAATGTAAGTATGTATGTATGTATGTATGCCATATTCAGGGTTTTCCTGCGTGTTTGTGGCGTGCTGTTACGCGTGCGTGGGCGTGGGTGTGTTCCGTGCTGCGCGCGGTGCCCGTGCGATGGGAAGATGATATATATATATATATATAGTATTAAAAGCTTTTTCAGCGGTTGGAAATTTATTGTAGGTCTTGCAACACGTCTTGTATACTGGTGTAAGCAACTCAACCTCAGAAGAGCAAGGTCCCTGGTGTGTGCGCTAGCTACAAATGTAGCATGGCAGCCTGCTTCCTGAAGTGCTTTGTACGTCGAAAGGGTACAGACGGATCGGCCCCCATCGGCTTTGCAGGCTTCCAATATCCCCAGACCATCCTGTGACTACTTTAGTATGCGCTGCTAGATCTTGTCGGATGCCTAATGTACTGACCTGGCCAGAACCTAGCCGGACACGTAGAACAAAACACCTCGCAACAAACACTATGCTGGAATTTCCTGGAATGAAAAGAAGCTTGCCGAGGCCGGGGTTTCGAATCCGGGCGTTGCGCGTTGGAGGGTGACAGGCGGACCCTTCCCATCCAAGGTTCTACCCTCTCCAGCCTTTTTCGCTTCCACTCCTGCAGGCCTTGCCTGGTGGGGCAGGTGTGTGCTTGGTGGAGGCAGCGCGTGGCGGGTGCCATAAACACAACTTTGGCGGTCTAAGTCTGAAGTTGATGGCCCTCCGCTGGGAAACATCATGGAAACTGAAAAGTGGCTTCCAAAAACAGGGGGTGTCACATCTAGAGGTCCAAAACGTTCAAGATCTTTCAGGGTTAAGTTCCTTGCTCCTGCGTGCTTGGAGCGGGTTGAGCAGTGATTCATCAGGGGATTGAATCCTGGGAAGCATGAGAAGATGATTTTTCACCAGGCAGCCGACTTCCTAGTCCAACCCTCGAAACAAATCCCTTCTGAAATCTGCGTGGCCAACCTGCAGCCTCAAAGTTTTTCCAATAGCCAAAAGCTTTAGCTCACTTTCTTTTGTTTCAAAAGGACAGCGCAAGGCCTTGGTGGTTCAAACCCAATCTCTGATCACGAAAGCTAGCCTCAGCTCTTCAGCTCTTGCTTTAGCAAGGCGCAAGGCACCTCAAAAACCCGAAAGAATTTACTAAATCAATCTTATGGACCCCCCCTCCGGAGGTTCAACTCCCCCCTGCGCGCGGCGAGCGGGTGGGCATCTGCTGCTGCTGCTGCTTGGTGCTCTGCTGCTGCTGCTGCTGCTGCTGCTGCTTCTTTTTTGAGTTGGCCATGTAGAAGAAAAACCAACGCGAAGGCGTGCAAAACGAGCGCTAAGTTTAGCACTCGTATTGAACCGATTTGGAGGCAGCGCGTCATGTCCAGCATGAACAACTTGTTTGCTGCTGCTGCTGGGTGGTCTGCTGCTGCTGGTTGGTGGTCTGCTGCAGCTACTGGGTGGTCTGCTGCAGCTGCTGGGCGGTCTGCTGCTGCTTGGTGCTCTTCTGCTGCTGCTGCTTCTCTTTTTTTGAGTTGGCCATGTAGAATAGAAACCGACGCGAAAGTGGCGCAAACCACTTTTAGAACTCGTGTTGAACTGATTTGGAGGCAGCGTGTCATGTCTAGCATCAAAATCTTGGTTTTGCTGCTATTGCTGCTGCTGGGTGGTCTCTCCTGTTGCTTGGTGGTCTCCTGCAGTTGCTTGCTGTGCTGTCTGCTGCTGCTGCTGCTTGGTGGTCTGTTGCTGCCGCTGCTGCTGCTGCTGGATGGTCCGCTGCTGCTGCTTGGTGGTCTTCTGCAGCTGCTTGGTGATCTGCTGCTGCTGTCGTGGTCTGCTGCTGCTGGTTGGTGGTCTGTTGCTTGGTGGTCTGCGCGGCCACACCCTAGCATTCGCACGCTTCCGCGCCCGGCTGGCTTTCGTTCACCCCCCCTGGCCTCAAGTCTAAGTTTGCACGGAGTTCAACTTCGGCCTTCTTGAGGGTCCAACCTTTCGAAGGTTGAGCCAGGTTTCCTGTTTCAATGAGGCTGCTGTCAGTGCTCTCCGCCGTGGCCGACAGTCCTTCTGCAGCTGGTGATGCTGCCCCTTCTGTACAATGGTCGTGGTGCAAGCTGTCAAGGCTTAAGGAAACCGGGTCCATTTGTTCAAGGCCCAAGGTTTGCGTGGGAGTGGGGCACTTGCTGGGGGAATGCAAAGTTGAGTTTTTGATTAGACAGCAGTCCTGCCCTGAGTTGAACTAGCGCTATAGATAATTTCACTGCTCGGGTGGCCTTGCGGCCACGACAGGCGGTTGCGTCCGAAGACCTTCGTGAAATTCGATCAAAGGTTGGGAGTGTTGGATGGTGTCCTTGGGCGCACAAGGCCGCTTGTACTTGGTGTTTGGCGTAGGTCTGCTTCTTTATCTCTCAACCTTCTTTATATTGATTGTCAGCCAGTCATGGGAAGTCCAGTAGTGAGGTTCTACCATGGCTAGGGTCCAACAGTCAAGGCACCTAATTCAATAGAATGCAATTTGTCGGAACCACCTACCACCGCGCAAAAGACTTCAGGAGCCAGCAAAGATTCAGTAGTCGCGACAGCGTAGCTATGCGTAGCTGTGAGGAGAAGGACGATGTGGCGCAGCGCGACATCGTCGTGGCACGGATCGACGGGCGCAAGATGCTGCAGCGCCGGCCGGCCTGAGGGTTGCTGCTTGCTAGCGTCTGCGAAGAACCGCTACATGTACAGTGGCGAGCAGGTGTCCCATCACTAGCTCTAGACTTCGAGAAAACACCTGCGCGGAAGTGAGGAAAAGGGCAGCCACCTTCGAAGGATGCGGAGTGTTGTGGATGTCCACTCAAAGGACTCAAAGACCCAGGGTCCAGACTTTGGGGGCCCTCAAATTTTACGGTTTGGTGGTTCAACCCTCTTTTAAATCTTTTGTGGCCCTCCCCACTATATACTAGCTTGCAGGTGTCCCCTCGCTGAGTCATGGATGATCTGGCCCGCGCGACGCACGGAGCATTTTCTGCGCATCCTTGCACCAATTTGCTTTCATGGACGCCTCCAACCCAAGAAGAGCATTCATTTGGCCTTTGATGAGTGCGCGACGCCACTGTTCCATTTGGTACATGCTTTGAGGCCTTGTGGTTCGGGTTGGCGCGCGCTCTAGTGCTAGCGATGTGACACCTGCAAGCTAGTATAGTGGGGAGGACCACAAAAAATGGATGGCTCATTAAAAAGGTTGCACAACCAAACTGTAAAACACCGCAAAGCTTGAAACAGCCTGACGGCCCTCAAAGTCTGGACCCTGGATCTTGGAGTCCTCCGAATGGACATGCGCAACACTCCGCATCCTTCGAAGGTGGCTGGCCTTTTCCTCACTCCCGCACCTCAAAGCATAGGAGTGAGCAAAAGTTCCAACAAAAATACTTGTGATTCTTAATCAATTGCAGGTTCAAGAAGAGGAAGGTGTTCGTTGAAACTGGATTGTTGACCGGTTTTGGTCGAGGTCCAGGTTTATAGTTTCAAGTAGTCTAGTTGGTTGAGTCCACGCTGAATCCCGATATTTTGTTCAGCTTGTCGCTGAGTTGAGTCGCAGTCTGTTTTGCTTCCATGCAGTTGCCTTCAGTGGCGCCTTGCGGAACATGACCGAATTGGTCAGTGGATCCGCCCACCTGCTGGAGCAGTAATGTCGCGCACTCATCAAAGGCCATTAATGAATGCTCTCTGAATGAATGAATGAATGACTGAGTGAGTGAATGAATGAATGAATGATTGTATGTATGTATGTGTGTATGTATGTGTGTGTGTAGTGTAGCGCAGCTTAATGCAAACGTAGTGTAATGCACGCAACGCAACGCAATGCAATGCAATGCAATATGTATGTGTGTGTTGTGTTGTGTACGCATGTTTTATTGTAACTACGATAGTAAATAAGTACGTACGTAAAAATGTGCATAAAAAATTGAGTAAAAGAACAAACAAGCAAGCAGGCAGGCAGGCAAGCAAGCAAGCAAGGAAGGAAGGAAGGAAGCAAGGAAGCAAGGAAGTAGTTTGCAAGTAAATATGGATGTATGCATCTAGATAGGTAGGTCCGTATACATGCATGTATGCACCTCGAGCACAAGGATGCGGCCAAACCAGTGGGGGTACCTGGTACCCCTCACAGCCCAGATGGATCTACCGGGTGGGATACGGGCGTCGAAACACACACAACTTTACAATGTCCAGTTGAACACATTTCTCTTGTCGGATGAGACTTGGTGACGCCCCAAATTGTGTAGAACATATAGTTCACTACACCGCGTGTAGAGGTGTGCACTACGCTTGGTCGTTCAGGGTTAGCTAAAAAGTTTGGAACTGTGCCGTGCTGTGCCAGGGTTTCCGGGCGTGTTTGCAGGCCAGACCGGTTGGCAGTCTTCATCGCGATTGTGTTTGTGTGTTCGGCTGAATCTTTTGGAGCAGCTCAGGCATGCAAGAGAGGTGGTGGCATCCACGTCAGCTGGTTCGCAACATTTGGTTTGAAATTTTTTATACCGTGCTGATTCTGCTGCAAGCGTGCGGCACCTCAGCTGCAGGAACCTGGATCGAACTTTACCAATGTTTTGCCGACAGGCGCAGTGCATTGGTTCACCCGTGGGGGTAGAAACATCTTCGTTTACTTCTCAGCCATTCACGGACTGATCAACTGGCATGGGAATCGTAGGAACCCAACTGTGTTCCAATTACGCAAGGCTCAAGGTCCGAGAGAAAGACCTGCCGCAGAACAAACATATTGTGTTTGCCTGTTTGCCAGGGTGTGGGGATGCATTGCGGACCCCATGGAGCAAGGTAGCACCTTCCGAGTTTGGGCTAAGGTTTTTAGGTCCACTATGAAACAAACAGATTCACACGATATGAGTGCACAAATATGCTTGTTTCTTGCCCAGGTCCATAGTATGCGATGCCCATTGTCTTCGCACAACCCCCATGGGACAGAAACAAATTAGCTACTTAGATGTTCGTCATTGACGTGAGAATGTGGGGGTTAGGGTGAATCCTGCCGGTGCGGGTTGAGGCATGGCAATCGAAGTGCAGTTGCAAGGCTTGGAGTGGGGCTACCAATTGAACTATGATGGTTATACCAGTGGAGCCGATGCAATTTGGCCACCTTTGCCTGAGATACTGGAGATTTGCGATTTAACCTTTGGCTGCTTGTTTGCTGTTGAGGTCGTGGTGAAGGTGTGGGGGTTGGGCCGAAGATACTTCAAATCCTTTTGGAACTTCTTCGACCTCTCCCTGGTCTTACTTTGGTGCCTTGAGATGGCGGTGGCTTTAATGCCGATGCAAAGCCCGTCCTTGCGGTTGTTGCGGCTCATCAGGCTGCTGCGATTGGTAAAGCCTTTGAGAACAATTAAGAACTTTGACTCTCTGATCATCATGACTACGGCATTGAAGCACAGCATGGGAGCCCTTTTTTGGGCGTCGATCATCATGTTGGTGGTGGAAGTCATGCTGGCACTGCTATTGGGCCAGTTAGCCATTGCTTTCGCGCGGGCAGACGATGAGTCTCCGAGCGGGGACACTGAAGTCGAGTTGAAGATCTTCGAATATTTTGGCACGTTTCCGCGGAGCATGCTGACGATGTTTCAGATGACGCTTGGGACCTGGGTCACTGTAGCAAGGGACTTGCAGGAACTCATCACACCTGCCTTTAATTTGCTGACAATCCTTTTCAAAGGGACCTTTGGATTTGCAGCTGTTGGTGTGATCAACGGAGTCTTGGTTTCTGAGTGGGCAGCTTTGTTCTTTTCAGATCAGTTTTGATCTCTTACATTAGGACAGCATGGATGAAATGTGCTTTCAGATGCTCTCAGTATAAGTTAAGGACGCAAGTGGCGTGAAGCTCATAGACGGCAGACATGAAACCCATCAGTAGAGCCAAGCCCCACACCATCCCACACCCACGCAGACACATGAGAGAGAGAGAGAGACACCAAGGGTGTATTTGTGCAGTGGCCTGGCACCCTCCCACCCACCCATCCACCCACCCATGGCTCTCCTTCTGGAAGAGCACTATGGATCACTATGGTCCTGGTGCATCGCTCTCGGAACACATCCTAGAGCCGAGACACGGTCCTGACTCCCCCTCGCATTTTTCCAGACTACTCGAGAGCGTGCTAGATTGCCAAATCGATACTCTCTCTCTCTCTCCCTCTCCCTCTCCCTCTCCCTCTCCCTCTCTATGTATGTGTGTGTATTATTGTGTATTTATTTGCCTACCATTATTATAGTTTTGCCATTTGGCTTAATGGCTTCGGGGCTTCTCGTGCAAAAACGCCGGGAAGGGCATGGCTCAAGTTCTGCAAACAACCAAATCTTTGATAAACATCCCAACTCTGAGCCAGCTCGTTCTGCCCGAAGAGAGCGTTTCTTCCAGACAGAATCAGACAGGTGGTGCTTTACTGAGCTGGCGCAAAACACCCGTTGAGTGCCACGGAACACCAGTTGAGTGCGGTTTTTGTTGTGTGGTGGTAGACACCAGCGCCCGCGTGCCACCGCTCGGCTTGTAAGAGCCATTCTGGTCGCGCTGCGCTGGCCTTCCCCAGGTCAATGGCGGATAAGGTTGTTTCATTGGGCTCTCAAACACCATTCAAGAATCCTCGCTTTCGCAGGTCAACTGTTCAGGATTTCTAGGCTTCACCGGCTTCACCTGATTTTTTCTAGGCTTCTGTGTTCATCGCCAAAAAGGCAAACCTGTAATTAAGCAGGGTTGATGTTCACATAAGTTTCACCTGTCATTGATGCCTAAATCGGGCAATCAAAGCAACTTCAGTGTGCATTTCATAGGATCCTTGCTTTTGAAACCGTTTGCTTTATAATATGTTATAATGTGTTTTCCCTCTTGGCGACTCAAAAGCCGAGGAGTTTTTATGCAAGAAACCATGAAGGTGGCACAAACGGATGATATCATCATGATGCGAGATGTGGCGAGGCGAGAGAAGGTCCATTCCAACAAAATGACCGCCTTTTTTCAATACACAGATCACTCGCGGGAGACGCCCATTACCCGATCTGAATGGAACAAGGTCATGGAACGGGATGATGCACGTCATTGGTTCGGCGCGCAGGGCCTTCCGATCAGGGATCCAGACACGATCTTCAACCTAATTGATAGTGACAATAGTGACTCAATCAGCATAGATGAACTGGTGTTTGGTGTGTCTCAACTCCAGGGAGTTGCCTCTGGCGTGGATGTGGCCATATTGAAGCAAAATCAGATCTATTTGATGGCCTTGATTGAAAAGGTGCTTGAGAAATGTGAGGTGTCGAGGGAGGTGGAAACCGCCAAGCTAATGCCTGAAATGGATTCTGTGAAACCATGCTTGCATTTGTAGGCAATTTTGCCACCAGTTGTTTGTAGTTGTGGTATCGGATGGATGCCCGGAGAGAGCCATCACGCCCAATGCTTGAAGCATCGCCAGCTTGTAAGATGGCTTTGTGGCTTTGTGCAAATGCATTGCGTTTCACCTCACACACATGTCATATGTTTTGAAAAGAGATGCAGCCAGTTCCTATGTTTTCAGGCCCTTGCATAGTTCAAGATTGCGGGATCGAGTTGTGGATTTGTCACAAGTCACTTCCATCCGTTCTATTGTTACATGGCCTGTCCCTTAAATAATTATTCCATGGTCCGGGTAACCCCCAGGAATAATTTTCTGGGAATAATTTAAAAATATTGACCTGGAATAATTTATTTTGACTATGGAGAAACTAGACCAGGGGGTACCATGGAATAATAATCCAGACGAACCTCTGCCTACCGCAGAATATTTTTTTAAGGGAGTGCCTCCAGACTTCACAGATCGAATCAGCTGTTTTGGAATTCGTTGTGTTCGCAATGCAGAGCTGGCGAATGATTCGAGATTCTGGCTCAAACACGCCATATACCAATTTCTCACATCTTCACATTGGCCCCAGGCCCTATGAAGGCATCGCCAGACACAGACAGCCCACCTCCCTGCACACTTAGCCCGCACTGGCCACCAGTAATGAGAAAATTGTTATTCTGGGGTCCCCAACCCCTGTTGGACATCAGAACAAATTGCTCCTGTGCTCAGGGAATGCACCCACTGGAAGAAGCTAGGCCTCCAAGTAGCAGATCGTTGCCAAATATTATCAAAC